CTGCATCGTTGATTACTGCAATAGAATGGGTGGGGTTGATCTTCTGGACCAGCTCACCCAGTACCATGAAATTTCACGAAGAAGTATGAAGTGGCGAAGGAAGCTGGCCTTTTATTTGATTGATCTCTGTGCCGTGAATGCCTGCCAGCTGTACATGAAATTTTCTGTGGACTCTCCAAAAATGTCACATTTCGCTTTCCACAAGTCGATTGTGGCATCTCTGGTTGCCAAAACGCCAAATACCCTGAAGCCGACCCAAAGAGGAGGATGACGAAAGACACCAAATCCAACTGAAGCTGTGTCTAGGCTGAGTGGAAGGCACTTCAGCCAGTACATCCCCTCTGCCCCTGGCTCAAGGCGAAAGCACGGTTCTCAGGACCGCATGCAGCATTGTCTGCAACATCCGTCACAACGGAGAAAGTTCAAGAGAGTGCAGACAGCTCATTGGTGTGAGGACTGCAGTGCCCCCCTGTGCTACCCCAACTGCTTCATCCTGTACCACACTGTCACGGATTACAAACAAGAGGCCCAGCGGAGAGAATACGTGGCATATGGCAAAAATCAGAACAACTGAGAGAGCGACATGAGACTGAATAATTTTACAAGAATTTTTTTTTTTCAATTCTTCAGCAAGGTGTTACTAAGTATTTCATTATCAAATGATCTGATTTTCCTTCTGAAGATTTGTATGTCTACGTTTTACATTTCTTTGACATATAATATTATGCTACTAGTTCTTGAAAATTGTGCGTTTGAACTGTGCTAATAAATGTTCATTTAGTGTTAATCTCGCCATTGAAATTTATTATTCATCTGTGGCATCTTGCTGGTTTTTGTGTCTTCAAGTTCATCTTTACTACTACCACTGTTTGTCATTCTCTCTATATATGCCTATCTTCATCATTCTCTATGTATGGTTTCCTTTCATCTATGGTAATTACTTCATTTACCACATGGGATTTTACTAAACAATGCACAGGAGGGATAAATCAACACATATAGTGTATTGTACTCTCATTCCCCTACTATATGCCAAAGTTTGAGAACAGCTCCATAAACACAAAATATTGATTTTTGATCGAATTTGAGATTATGGCCAAATCTTTTTATTTATCCATTTTTCTAACTAAAAATTGTAATGATAATGCCTAAAACAGTTGGAAAATCTGTTTTTGAAGCCAATATCTAAGGTACCCTATGACGCTCGCAATCGGAAAAATCATCGAAAAATTGACAAATTTCAGCCGGCTGTGGAAGGTTTCCGTCTAAAAATAGACCCTCTATATTTGGTATGGTTTTAAAGCTTGTTTTCTCTACTTTCCAACACTGAAGAGTGCGCAGAAGTAATATATACGGGTATTTAGTGCGCATCCAATCAGCGAGCATGGTACAAAATTCAATCTTCCGTTTTCTTTGTCCTACTTGCGCGAGGGAAGCTACAGCCTCACAAGTCACGCAGTCCGTCATTTTCGCTTCGAGCATACAACTGAATCTGTTCCCTATCGAAATTTTATTGTTTGGACTTCATTGGCATTGTTTTGAAAAGAAATTCAAGATAATCCGTCAACGACTACAAGTCGAGACGAGTGATCATGGCGACGTCAAGCGAGGAAATCGCCAAGCTACTGAACAGCAGTTCGCGGACCGTTGTTGACAATGTTGATAAGGACTCTATTCAGGATTTTCTTGATGATTATTTCGGCTCAAGAAGCGACGCTGATTCTGATTCAGATTCTACAGAGTCTTCTGATGCAGGTTAGTATCTAATGTTACAATTAGATTTGCTAGTATATTTGTTATAAAGTGAATAATGACATTACCTACGGATGTAAACATTGCTGCTGAACAGCTGATGACTGTTTGTGTTGTCGTCTGTCTTGATCTATACACACACAAAACAACCGAACAAGGACACAAACAACCACCATCCCAACCGCCTGCAAAGGTTGTGATGTGATGAAAAGTGATAAAGAGAAACAGATTCTAGACGAATTTGTCTACATTTTAGTTTGTCCTTTCTCCTTACCGTAATCCCTAGATCTAGATCTACCCTTTGTACCATGTCTAGAACTAGATTTAGATCTAGATTTCTAGATCTAACCTCCTCTCCCTCTTTGTTCTAACCACTACAAAACTGTTTTTAAAAACATAGATCTAGATCTAGATTCTAGATCTAAGTCTGGTTCAAGATTTAGATTCTAGGTCTAGATTCTAGATCTAGGACTGCAGTCAGTCTATCTAATCTAGATCTAGATTTAGGCTGTTTCGGTGAGGACTGCCTGTGTAGATCTAGATTTCTAGATCAAGGTTTAGGTTTCAGTGAGGACTACTCCTGTGTACTGATCAACAATATAGGTCTAGATCTATACAAATTGTAAATTGTTCTAGTTTTACGTCTCTTGACACTAAAATCATTCAGGAGGCAGCACGGCCCACCCGGGTTGAGAGGGATACAACGTGCCAGCAGAAAGACGAATACTCGATTTATAATAAACTCGCCCCAAGCGAGCATCAAACTCACATTTTCTGCATGCGACAGCGAAATGCTTTACTGCTACACCACAGACGCAGATTATAATTATTATATATATATTTTTATAAGAAGACCGAAGACTAATTACTTTTCAGTGTCTTGTGCAGCTTTCAGGCTAGAACGAGAATGGACACAGAGTAATACTGTTTTATGATCACAAAAAATGTGTATGTATGGTTAGTTTTCATTAAATACAAAGGTGGACTATGAATTCGGCCCTCTAATGCTCATCTCAGATCAATATGATGTGGGGAGAGAAATCATTTAAACATGCTGAATAGTGTTCTACCGTAACATGACTCAACAAAAAGTGAGTCTCTGTTAGAGTGACGACTGCTTGTTTAAAAAAACAAACAACCCAAAACATGTACTTAATGAATCATATATAATATCTTTCCACAGTTGACACACATGAAGAGTTGGAGTCTGATTTCTCTGTTGTGACTGATATTGGCCGAGCTGTGCTCCCATTGGCTGGTTCTGATACTGGTCCGACATGTGCAAAGAAAAATTCTTCAAAGCGTCCCCCTTGTGCGTGTGCCTTAAATAATGGTAAGCCGTGCCATACCATGTTTCAGGACGAGGAGCTGCAGGAGCTACGGTGCCACTTCATGGCGCTTGAAAGGGCGGAGCTGGACATGGTCGTCCTTGCCAAGATCAGCTGTGGCATTCATCTGTCGGCATTTACGATCAGGCCGAAGCAGAAAAGCCAAACCGAGAGGAAGGCTTCCCGTACGGATTATTTTCACCACGGGCAACGAATCTGTCGGGACACGTTTACCTACATCCATGCCATCAGCCGGTAAAAACTAACCGCACTCATTGTGCACTACAAAGAACATGGTATCTCCCCACGCCAACATGGAAACCTCAAGAAGCTGCCTTCGAACTCCTTGTCTTTCAAGGTCACACGGAATGTTGTGGACTTCATTGTCAATTATGCCGAAGACCACGCAATCATGCTGCTGGGGCGTACTCCACACAACTGGGTGTCGGATGTAAAGCTGCTGCCCACAAACTGTTCAAAAAAGAGTGTCTTCG